TCAAGTAGGATCCTTGAATCTTGATTCTAAAATCAGGGAATGCGATTCCCAGTTGAAAGGTAGGTAGAAAATTTTTGAAATTCGCCCACCCATTCCGCAACTATTTTGGTGTCCATACGATGGATTCTACCATCCCTTTCAAATTTATCCATTTCTCGTTTTAACTTCTCTCTGAAAAAACAAAGAAATGATTTGCTCAAAAGGCTTATCTTCACCACATCTAGGCTTATGCATCATGATTTTGTAGCTTCACCTATCCACACCTTCCAGATTTGCAAGCCTTAGTTCCATTCTCTTGCCATATTTATGGGAAAATAACAAGGCAGTGAGCCATATGCTATTACCTCATTACTTGCATTATAAATCAGTTTCCTATCAAGGACATGAAATTAATATAGCTTAGAAAATTTGTCAGTCCCAGATTAGACATAATACTTATCCCCATTCTAAATACATAATGTGTAGCCAATGGTTTGTAAAAGGAATACTTTTCAGCTTTGTAAGTTGGTTTTCATCAAAAGCATTCAGGTAATGGACAAACATATACAGATAATAGACAGAGTGATAAAAAAGTTACTAAAATTCTGTGACATAAGCATTAGATATTGGCCTGTACCAAGGTCTTATATGCATTCAATGCTTTTTGCACCTTTGCTCTCTCTCTCTCTCTCTTTCTCTCTCTTTCTCTATCATTCATTCATTTTGATCACTAAAGGAATTCTATCCCTGGTATATATCTGTCAATTCTTTCAATTGTCCTATTTAAAATCATTTCCTTGTATTAACAAGAAAGTTAATTGTCTAAATTGCATTAAATTATACCAATAAAGAAAAGGTCACATTAAATTATKTGGAAATGAGTTTCTGGTTTATTGGTTCAGCCATCCATGTGTTTGGTATTGGTCTTCTTTTTTTTTTTTTATCAGTGGTGTTTGGTATTGGTCTTATATACATGCGCATGTGTATCTGTTCCTTTCACAATCATACTTCTGTAACTTTGAGCTATTCCTTTTCAATTTAATTGTTTGATGATTTTTTATGGGCATGAAGTCTTCCAAAGATTCCAGAACCCTTTCCACTGTATCTTAACCTTGGAAATGTGAATGGTTAAAATTTTATTTGTTGTTACAGTGAGGCTTGCACCTGAGGACCAGTCAGTGAAGTTGACTGGTTACGAGCACAATGGTGTGACATGTATTGGCATGAAAACAGATATTCCGGTAATTAAGATTCTGTGCTTCTACTACTTAGTGCTTTAAATTCATAGTTTTCTTTGTGCTATATTTTATGCATGGTAAATAATTGCAGTGAATATTAACCGCTAAGATAAGGTTTTCTAACTTCATCCAGATATGCTTCAATGGAAGATGCTAATCAACTGATATTACCATATTTTTTTCTTATTGATAATTATACATCTCTATCTTGCAAAATACCTTTTTAAACTAAGAAACATATGATATACATATTCTTTTAGAGCTACAGGAAAATAGTGGTTTTTATGAACTAAACTGTAATACTTAGCAATTTAACTAAAGCAAAATTAGTGAGATTCTTTTTTGAGAAAAAGGTAAACTTTCATTAATCTCAAAAATCTCTGTACAACAAGAGGCTGTACAAAGGGAGATAACCAAAAAAAAAAAAAAAAAGAACTGCCCCAGAAGAATTAGCATGATATACCCTTGGAATTTACAAAAAAAGATTCTCATGCACAAAACATGTACTATGATTCTTTCTTTTGAAAGACTTATGTGTGGCCACCTATGAGTGCAGTCTGCTCAAAATCATTTGAAAAACCTTACCTATCGGAGATGCCTTATTCTTGAATATTCTGGAGTTTCTTTCCTGCCATAATCCTCCAAAGAAAACTGTTGTTGGAATCATATGCTAAATGATTCTACACTCTTACTCAAGGTATCAAGCCATCAAGCCTCCATCCTTTTAGGAAATCCACCACTGATTGAGGATAGCACCCCTTAACTGCAAACATGCCCAAAACCTTCACCCAAATAGCTTGAGGAAATTAGAAAAACTAGAAGGTGATCTCACAGCATCAAAGTGCCTTTGATGAAGGAAGACAGATTATCGACCAGTTATTGGTAGCAAATGAATGCGTAGCAGAGAAGAGGAGAGGGAAGGGCTTGGTGTGCAAGTTGGATTTGGAGATGGCTTATGACTTTGTGGATTGATCTTTTCTTCTGGAAATTATGGGGAGAATCAAGTTAGGGGAGTGGTAGAGGATGTGGATGAAGTGATGCCTTAGTTCAGTGCAGTACTCGATCATGATTAATGCTGTGGCTAGAGATTACTTTCCAATGAAAAGAGGATTGAGACAAGGGGATCCCCTTTCCCCCTTTTCACTTTAATTGTTGATTTCCTAAAAAGGGTATTACCTTTGGTCATCTCACAGAATCAAGGTGCCTTTGTTGAAGGAAGATGGATTATCGACCAGGTATTGGTAGCAAATGAATGTGTAGCAAAGAAGAGGAGGAGGAGAGGGAGGGGCTTGGTGTGCAAGTTGGGTTTAGAGAAGTCTTATGACTTTGTGGACTAGTCTTTTCCTCTAGAAATTATGGGGAGAATCGGGTTAAGGGAGCAGTGGAAGATCTAGATGAAGGGATGCCTTAGTTCAGTGCAGTACTTGATCATGATTAATGGTGTGTCTAGATATTTTTTTCCAGCAAAAAGAGGATTGAGACAAGGGAATCCCCTTCCCCCTTCATTTTCACTTTAATTGCTGATGTCCCAAGTAGGATGATCATGGAGGGTGATCAAAGAAATTTGTTTAGATGATGGAGGGTAGGAAGACTTGATCATGATTAATGGTGTGGCTAGATATTATTTTCCAGCAAAAAGAGGATTGAGACAAGGGAATCCCCTCCCCCCCTCCCCTTCCTTTTCACTTAAATTGCTGATGTCCCAAGTAGGATGATCAAAGAAATTTGTTTAGAGGATGGAGGGTAGGAAGACTTGAGGTGACAGTCACTCATTTGCAGTTTGCATATGACATCATTTTATTCTGTGAGGAAGGTAATCAAGAGTGTATAAGAAATTTGCGTGAGCTCATTACTTCCTTTGAATCATTTTCCAAGTTGAAGATAAATTGGGGAAAATGTTGTATGGCAGGGATTAGGGGTGGATTCGAGTCGAGCCGAGCTGAGCCAAATAGCTAGCTATTCGAGCTCGGCTCACCAAGGAAGTATGAGGCTCGAGCTAGAACCTTGAGCTAGAGCTAGGCTCAACTCTAGCTCGACTTGAGAAAAATGTTTTATAAAAATAATATATATATATATTGTTTTATTTGATATTTAAAAAATTAAGAATTATAATATTTAGTTATTATTATATATAAAAATAAAATTATTATATCTATAATATTTTTATTATATATAATATTATAATAATAATATTATTATTATTATTATTAGCGAGCCTCACGAGCCGAGCTTTATTAGGCTCGATCTCGGGTCGAAGCTCGGTTGAAATCGAGCCAAGCCGAGCTTTTCATGAGCTAAGCTCGAATAGCTCGTGAAGAGCTCGGCTCGTGCCCACCCCTAGCAAGGATTAACTTGGAAGATGAAAGTTTGAGAGAGCTAACTGAGATTCTTGGTTGAGGTCAAACAATGACAATTGGAGTAGTTAGGGTTGCCTTTGGAAGGGAATCCAAAATCAAAAAAGTCTTTTGGAAGCTAGTGGTGGAGAGGTATATAAGGAAGTTGGCACTTTGGAAACAGAATTATTTATCCATAGGTGGGATTATAACCCTGATTAGAGCAACTCTAACAAACCTACCAATCTATTTCTTATCAACTTTTAGAATTCCAACTAGAGTGGTAGGACATCTGGGAACTTGGGGATGAAAAGAGGGATCACCTAGTAAAGTGGGCACAAGTCAGCAAAAAAAAGGAAAGGGGAGGTTTAGGATTGGAGGATTTAGTTCACAGGAATACTTCTTTGTTAGGAAAGTGGCTTTGGAGGTTTACATTGGAAAGAGACAAGTTGTGGCATAAGGTGATAGAAAGCATTCGTAGGCTGATTAACAATGGCTGGGATGCAAAGATAGCCCCCACATCTTCCTCGAGCTCTCTGTGGAAAGCAATACAAGAGGTATATCCTACCTTTTTTAATCTCATCAGATTTGATGCGGGTTGTGGTTCTAGGGTGCCTTTTTGGAAAGATCTTTGGCTGGGTGATACTCCCTTTTGCTCCCTTTTCATTGATCTTTATTCAGTTTCTAACTACAAGTTACAACCCATTTCAAATTTCATCACCTTTTCTCACTCTAGATTGAGTTGGGATTTTGGTTTCAGAAGGGGTTTGAGGGATAATGAGTGTGAGTCCCTTATTTGTTTGCTTGACAATCTTAAGTCAGATTTCTTGGTTCAATCTATGGAGGACACTAGAGTATGGTCTGCTTCTTCTAACGGCACTTTTACCTATGCTTCTTTCTTCAATACTCTTGTAGAAACTCTTGTTGGGGGTGAGAATTTCCTGGTGAAAGAGTGTTTTTTTTTTTGAAACTGTCCGGTGAAAGAGGTTTGGAGCAAAGCCCATTCCACAAAAAAACTCAAGCTCTATGTTGAAAGGTGTTTCTTGGGAAGGTGAACACTTGTGACATGCTTCAAAAAAGGAGGCCAAATAAATGCCTCTACCCTCATATGTGCATTCTTTGCTCTGCAAGTGGTGAATCCCTACCCCATTTGTTTTATCCATTGGCTTTTTTGTATTTTTTTTTTTTTGTTTGGGAATCTTTCTGCTCTCTCTTTGGTTGCAATGGAGTACTCCTAGAATGTAGAAAGCCTCTTTGATCAAACTTTCTAAGGCAGCCAACAAAAAGATGGAGGGTTATTTGCAAATCAGTAAGGGAAGTATTGRTGTGGACTATATGGGAGGAAATGAATGCAAGAATATTCAACAAGAAGTATAGGTCAAAAGAAGATCTAGTGGGGGCCATAAAGATAAAAGTTGCACACTGGGTGAAATCAATCCAGCTCTTTCAAATTTCTCAATTACTAATATAGTAAGAGGATGGAATGAAGCCACACACATTGCTGAGAAAAAAGAAAGAAAGAAAGGTGATCGAGTGGAAGCCCTCGGGTGCCAACAAAATTAAGCTGAACTTTGATGGGACCTCTATAGGAAACCCGGGTATGGCAAGCATTGGTGGTGTGACCAGAGATTCCTCAAGTAAAGTATTGGCTCTATTACAAGGGTTAAAACTGTTAGACAGTGCATGCCCTTAGCTCCAATCAGCATGATGTACATTATGACATTTATTGTAAATGAATAAAGTACATATTYGATTCATGTTATTATRRTGTGTTTCTGTGTAATACCCTTAAACTAGACACATATGAGACTCGTGTTAGTTTAGAATCTTCACAGCCGTTGGATAGATCTAGGGAGATTTATCCTGCCAAGGCTGGCACTGATGTACCGCCAAGTTGGTTGGGGTGGCTTGTCTCAGTTGCTAGGGTGAGACCTAAGGTACATGTAGTGTGGGTTTTCTTGAAACCTTGAACCGGACCAAAATTCCAGTATTGCCCTGGACCTTGGAGATAGATGGGCAAAATTGGAATGTTACACCTAACCCATAGACTTGATTATGATACTGTACTAGGTGTTGAATTGGGTTGCCTTTGATATAGCAATCAGTGAGATCCTTAGAGGGGGTCAAAACCTAGGTATGTTGGGACAATCCAAGAATTCATCTGAGTGGGTGATCATAGTGACAGGATCATCCCCTTTGTCGGACAAAGTGAATGATCGGGGATGCATTCTCTCTGATGGAAATCTAAACTGCTGGTAGTTGATTTCAATCGTTAAAATTTGTTTTTGCAAAATATATTATGGTTTCAAAATGTTTGCAAAAGGTTTTAATTCCTATGATCCATGTGAGTAGAGAGTGCAGCACTGCACCTCTTGTCGGGCAGTGTTTGATCATTATGGGCTGAGAGGTTAAGTGTAAGACCATTGAGGATTATACCTGATGGGCTAATCTTGCATCTTCCCACAGTCCTTGGGCCTTCATAAGATGGATGGACCTAAGGACCATTTAGTGTAAATGTTGGGCCCATTAAGAGCCCATAGTGATGGACTCAGGGGTTCATTGTATTCAGCAGTGAATTCGGACAGGCCTTGTAACAGAGGCTAGGCTGAACCCATGTGACTGATATGTAGATCAATGATAGGGTCCCACGCCATACAAAGAGAGCCAAGCTARCTAGCATTAAATAGGAAGTGAGCCTGAAATCTTAATGGGCCTAAAAGCCCATTTCGAACTGGGTTAATTGGATTAATTAAATAGGGGTGGTTCTGGGTTTGGATCAGCAGATAAGGATAAGAGGGTTACTCTTATCCACTTAAAGAGTTCAGATCCAAATAAAGATTTGGATTAAGAAACTCCTAATTTGATTAGGAAGGCTGATCTTTATCTGCAGATAAGATAAGAGATTATCCTTATCACTTAAAGAGTYCAGATCCAAATAAAGATTTGGATCAAGAAACTCCTAATGAGATTAGGAAGTTGTCTCTTTAAGGCTATAAATAAGAGAGCAGGGCAGACCTGAAAAAACACACTCACTCAATACCGAGAGAAGGCAACTCAGTTAGATTGATCTTGCCTTCAGTTCTTTTTCTTCCTGCACCTGCCGCCCTACCCTGTTCAATCTCCAGTTCTTGGACCCTGTTCGATCTCCAATTCTTGGATTTGATCAAGAATTGATCTTGATATTGTTTCTTGCCAAAAGAAACAATTTAGAAGCTGTGCTCACTATCCCATTCAGTTCTTGCTGAAGAATCACAAGTTCTTGGTGAAGAACTACCTGCTGATCCTGCCTCATCCTAAGCTGTGTCATCTTCAGTGGAGGAAGGATTTGGTACACTCTTTGGGCGTGAACACCTACGTTGGGAGGAGCATTCTTGCGTGGATTCCGTATCAGGTACATCTCTCCCTAATTTTGGTTTCAGATTTGGTCTGGTTTAGTTACAAGAACGAACCTTGAAAATGTAGTTTTCTAAATTGGGAATAGGATTCCCGGATGGGAGTAAAGAAATTTTTGAAATTTTGCCCAACCTTCCTATAGGGTTCGGCCATCCATATGATGGATCTCCCATCCCTTCAAAAATTTGCCAGGCAAGCAGATCTTAAGAACTTAGAAGTAGAAGGGGACTCAAAAATAGTGATGTCTTGGACCAATTCAAGCGGTAAATCAGTACCTTGGATCTATAGAAATCCGTTAAGGGAGATAGTAAGCATAGCAATGGAACTTAATGCCTTGTTCWCATGGWTCAGGAGAACTGCAAATGGAATGGCTGATTCTCTAGCCAAACAGGGAGTTCAAAAGCAACAGCTTTTTTGGGCTTTATTGTAACAATTTCTGGTACAATGTCTGCTTTCTACTTGCTGTAATTCTGTATTTAATTCTCTTAATTGAATAAAATTCTCATTTTTCTGATAAAAAATGTAACAGAAGGTGATCCACTTATTCGGTGGACAATACAGCCATACCCTTTCTTACCAAATTATCTTTAATAAGTATTCTATTCAGATAAGGAGTCCACAAAAAATGCCACCTTTGAAGGGATGTTCTTGCACCAGATTATGTGAACAGGGACCTCTGCTTCTTTAATTGCTGGCAAATGATCAGGAAAAGGATTTCACCAAAAACTTCCCAGACTTCTCCCACAGCCATGCCCTGCCGTCTGCTGTAGAAAGGTTCACTTGATTGCCATACAACCTTTGCAACAGCTCCTCCATAGAGCCAATTTCCCAGTTGTTCACATTCAGATTTGAATAGAGAAGCAAGAAGAAGAAAGAAAGAACTGATGAAAGGGATTCTTTTTGTCTGCCCCTAGTTAGGCAGCGGCAATGGAAATACATAAAAGGAACTTAAGGCCCAGCCCACTCAAATAAAAAGAACTTACATATTATAACTTAAGCCCACAGATATAAGTTCCAGTTTGCATAATAATTCAGCAAATCTATTTATCAAAATAATAATAATAATAATTCAGCAAATCTTGCTTTAGTGAGGCCCTTAATGAATACATTGGTTAGCTCTCTTGCAGAGGGCATACAAGGGATGCAGAGATCTCCAGATACAATCCTTTCTCTCACAAAGTGTTTGTCAATCCCAATATGTTTGGTTCTATCATGTAGTATGGGGTTATTAGAGTTTGAATAAAGAACAAATTGGAATTGAAAAAGAATGGTTAGGTGGTAACAGTCCACCCAGAACCTTGTATTTATATAATACTGTCAAAAGAGTTTGAGTACAATTACAATAAGGAAACCATGAGAGATTACATCGAGTAAACCTAGGAGTTATCTGATGAAAGGTTGTTGTAATTCATGTTATCTGTAGGTGACGTGTCACTCTTATCCTTAGTATACGCCCCCTCAAATGAATGGGCATAGGATGCACATGAAGCTTGTTAACAAGGGAAGAAAACCAAGGAGATAACAAGGCCTTTATGAATACATCAGCAATTTGATCCATTGAAGGTGTGTACTGTATCCGGAGAGCACATTTGGGGACCAAATCCTGAAGGAAATGAAAATCTACTTCAATGTGACGGGTACGTGCATGGAAAACTAGATGAGAGGCGAGATAAGATGCACTGACATTATCACACTCAATAATAGGTGGTAAAGTTAAGAGAATGCCAAGATCTTTCAACAAGGACCGAAGGTTTCCTAAACACTGTTAAACCAATATTTTTCGATTTTAAAAGGTAGTGTCAGTTAAAATAAACCCCTGCAATATGGGTGGGGGGTGGGGCGGCGGAGCAAATGTACTTGTAAAGTAGAAACATTCTCACCGCATAAAGTTTACCAACGTGACTACATGATCAGATTTTAATAATTTATGATATAGTTATTTGATTAAAAAACGATTTGGTTGATTGCAGGTAATCTTGGACGAAGCAATAGTAAAGCTTAATCCCGATTTCTTCTGGTTGGGAGGTGGAGAGGTCGATCTGAAGCTGGGGATCAGGACCTCTCAATTCATCAATTTTGTTAAACCCTTCATTGTCAGCTGTAGTACTTAAAAAAAATATTGTTGACTCAGAACGTAGCAGGACTGTCTGGTAGAAATGAAATGGCGTGTTTTCCTGCCCACAAAACCACATCGGGGAAATGCCGTTTCACGGGCTTGTGGATTTCGATGAGAAATGAAGTTGGGGATGTCTGTTTTTCTTACAGCAGGAAGTTCTGTTTTCGATTTTCCTCAACTGTTACTTTTGGGATGTCGAAACTTGATTAAATTATCAGTTTTTTAGACGTTTTTGGGAGACATTCTTGAAATGGTAGCAGCCACTGATCCTGGTTAGGTTTTGAATGTGGCGCCCAGGAAACCAGTCCAGTAGAGCCTAGGAGCCCCTGGTGACTGGTGATCAGTTCATTTTTATATTGAAATTAAAAAAAAAAATCAAGGTATGGAATTTATGGGATGGGACCATTCAGTTATTTGTTTATGTACTCCATATTTTAATCACAAAATCAAATAAAAAAAAAAAGCTAATAAACAATTAATATACGCTGTTGGAAGAAAATTTGGCATGCATTTGCAACCCACTTCTATCTAAACTGACCGCAAGCAACTCAAAGGTGTAAAAGTGGTAATATTTTATCCGTTTGACTGTCTTTGCGCTGCTGCTTTTATGGTAACAAGTGGCAAATGGGAATTTTAATCAATTGTAGTAAAAGAAGTGAACCAAACCGTAAGGGTTCTTTTGTTTGTAGTGCCAAATTGCCGGTTCAGATTTGCATGTATCCATCTATGTCTGACTATGAATCATATCCCTGACTGACGCAAAATTTCCATTTTTGTCTCATTTGACTCATTGGCAGTGTAAATTTTGCGATCACCACCATCCTATATTTCATCCACTTTCATTTTTTCTCATATAAAGTGACCGTTATGTTATTTTACTTCAATTCCAATATAGAACCTCTAAAATAAAAGTAAACAAGAATTCGGACTCATGCATTTGACCAGTGCAATGTAATTTGTACTAGGAATAAACAGAGCCTAAGGTGGGTCCATTCCATATGCTTGGCTTTTGAATGTCTAGTGGTCGGTGGCAGATATTTGACAAGGTATCCACAGGCTCCGAGTTGTACAGAATGATCAGATGGTTTTGAATGACTGAATTGTCTCTTGTTTTTTGGGGCTTGGGGTAAGGAGGGCTTTGTCATCTCTTCTAATTTTTTATCTCACTTTTGATAATAATTTTAACGTCACTGTCCTTCCACTTGGAGTAAAGTTTGGGGTTAAAAAAATAGAGAAAAAATTGGCACTAATAATTTATCTAATTTGCCACCAGTTTGATTGATAGAATCTAAAGTGGAAATTTGACATAGGTTTTTTTGTTGCAACTGCAAAAATGATATTTCCATGAGACAGTTACTCTATAGCCTTGTTTCTAAAAGCTGGATAGATTTTGCAAAATCAAGGTTCAAACTACTTGCTCCTCACAGAACACGCCTCACAGTACATCCCACCATGTATATATTAAAAACATCTCCCATGAATAACAACATACAAATACATGAGATGTTCCAGATGTGGGGCTGTAAATAGCAAATCCAGACTCATCAATACCTAGTTCAGTTCAATTCTTGTAACTTAAAATTTTAATCTAATGGGGCATTTACGAGATGGTTGATTTGAAAACTAAAAAACAACCGCCCCACTTGACAAAAACTATACAAATTTGATGATGTGACAGTTGATTTGTGGAACACCCCTAAGAACATGACCCCTTGAATTGCGTGACGTATCCAGACTTTGAACCTTGCTGAAAAAGCATCTACTTTACTATCTGAGCTTCATTGAAACTTCCCTAAACATTATGGTCTTACGGATTTAACTGATGCAATGTGCCAACTAACTAACGGGCTAACGGGTAACCGTCGATACACAACAAAGATGGGAGTAACAGGTAACTGCCGCCCCCCATTTAAGAACCAACTACCGCAGGCCCCATGCATCCTTACGTCTCGTCCTTAATTCACAGCCTCATTAAATAGGAGAACTTGAAGATAGGGCCCTCGCCCATGTTATATTATTCTTTGAATCTGATAGATAAGGCCTTCCACCCAATGCTGGTCAATGCTGGGTCTGGCCTTTTCTGCGTCTTGGGAGGGGTGTACTGTAGATTCATACCTAACTTCTCAGACTTAGAACCCATTTTCTCACACTTGTCAGCCCTAGATTTTATGACTCCACCGGGGCCCCTTATATATGAGATCTCCTTGATGCTTGGTCGGTTTCCGTGGGCTTCAATAGAAAGAATTGAGCTTTCTTAATTAGAATCTGTAGCTAGTTTTGTTGTTTGATTTGTTCGTACAAGAGTCTAGACCAGCATAGAAGAAATGAAAGCATGTTAAACCAACATAGATGTATATATCATCATCCTTTTCACTTCCCACAAGCATCTCCATGCATGGTATATATATACACACAACCACACCATTTTTATAATTAATTCCCTTTCATATTACATATATATACATGCACCCATGGAAGGACATGCTTCCCACGAATATGCATATACATGCACGCACCATACCCACATGACATCGATCGACATGCATGCATGCATACATTAAGGTATCGAAATTAGAAAATCTACCCTTGCCCTCAACAGAACATGATCAAGATAATCTGTACTACCCCTTCCTCCACATCAATTCCCAAATCCCTTCTGCTTTTCCACTTTGCTCCACATCGACTTCAATGCATACATGATCAATATCGCCTGTTGCAGAACCAGATGAGAAGAAGATAGAACACTAAGAATACAAGACTCCTGTTCTACATCATATATATAATGTTTTTCAGAGTTTTAGGATGTTAAATATAACAAGATACATCATCAGTGACAGAGAAAAAGAAAGGTGACAAGTAAGAATATGGGGGACATGGTTCATCAGTTGTGAGTGGGAGGGTGTGTTTTGGGTGGAGCATAGTCTTGGTCAAACCCAGGATGCTTTTTCTGTTTCTCATGAGGTACCCGCCATGAAACCGAACCAAGAGAGCTGTTTTCTGCAACACCTGAAGTAGTAGTCTTTCGTGTCCTCCTTCCTCTGACCTTGTTAAGGAGGACCTTTTGATCCTTTGGCCTCTGACTACTTCCAACATCTCCATTCTCATCAGCTTTGTTTCTTCCATGGCCGACTGTCAGATTTTGTTGTCCTGCTCGAAGCTCCCGTGACCGGTAAGGCTTAAATTCTGATGAAACCCAAGTCTTATTTTTTCTTGCTTTTTCTGCTTCCTGCATCAAATGAACATAGAAAAAAGCTTATAAGAGAGAGAGAGAGAGAGATTTAGATGTGTCTATTTTTCAAGAATTGTCATCAAATTATACAAAAAGATCGTGATGAAAAAGCAAAAGCATTCCCCAGCTACCAACCTTGCTAGAAGAAAGGTGAGCTTGTCCAGCTGAGTCGTTGTGAATGACCCCGAGATGGCGAGCTTTGCATGCATGCAGAATGAATAAACATAATAGGAGGAAAGGAAGAAGAGAAGACATGATAGACATGGTGATAAAGGTAATTGTCGGTTGATGATAACCTTAAGCGTTTAGTTTGCGTATTGTGTGTCGAGGGGGTAGTAGCTAGTATTTGTACCAAGAGCATTAAATGCAGACTTCTCAGGTGATTAAATAGGTTCCTCCAGAGAACATGCAGATGTTTCTGTGATGAGACGCGAGAAGCAAAATGCAGATATGGATGGCCTCCATTGTCTCCTCTTACTCTAAATTTACAGTCAGTTGGGACCCAAAAATGGACCTCCACCATAAGGGAAAAGCAATTTAGATCCTTTTGGTGAATATATGTAGATGGTAAACAACAAACAGAGCCAAGAAGAAGGTATAGAGAAGCCTGCTGCATGCCCCCGTTTGCTTCTATCGAGAAGCTCCAATATTTCTTGTCTGTGTTAGATTTTACTGCGACATTGGGGTTCTGGCTCGTTGTTTCTTGCTTTTGCCCACCTTTTTTCTCGAATAACCTGCTTCATTATTTTAATTTTGTATATAGGTTAAAGACTTAAAGGTGGATACACTACTGCTCAACAGAAGGGATGCAAAATATCTCAAAGTGCTTGAGCGTGCATAGTGTAATGACACATATGTCCCTGTTACCAAAATATGGAAGTCGCAGCTGAAATCAAAATTTAGATATCCTTGTCGGTAATTTTGTCCTTACAGCCGAGTACAAAACTTCAATGTTAGGCTCAGTTTGTTTTGCACTGAACATATTTGTATTTATACTCTTCTCAGTGGTAGAAGAGACGTGGGTTTATGTTAAAAAAAAAAGGGGGGGTTTTATAATTCAATCCACCTCAGAAATCTGATCCCACCGTATAGGTCAGATGAATCCTATCCCATGGATTGATGCCAAATTCACGGGCAAGATGCGGTATAAGGGGGAGCTACTAGTAGACTGGAGGGGGCTGCAATTTCAGATTTCTGAGGTGGACTGCAGTCCATTTATCCCTATAAAATATGCTTATATTATATTTACTGCTCGTTTTCATTTGCAAAAATAAAAATCCGGAATTGAGATTACAAAAGGCTATTCTGATTCCAACTATTTAATTGGGCAAAATCAAAATCTCATTTCTATTTCTGGTGGAGTGACATTCCCCCATTTCCCCTCCGGAGAAGAAAATGCTTTCATTTCCTGTCTGTTCGGTTCATAATTGGAATCAGAATCGTAAATCCTAATTAATTCCATGACCATTCCCATTCGGACGTGAACAACTGCATTTTAGAATATAATATAGATGTAATGTTTTGATGAAGAGTCTAAACTGAACTTAAACTAGAGACAAAGGAAAATGGATATGAATTTGAGGCCCATAATTTATTAATGAACATGAAACTGAACATAAATAGGATTRATGTAGACAACCCCATATAGTGTGGACGAGGCTTTGTTCGGTTGAGTTGAATTAGATTGAGTGGTTTAAAGAAAGCAGTCATATCAGCAAAATCATTGTATTTTTCTTGACACGTGTCTTCTCGAAACAGTGGCATGTGTCCTCTTGAAACAAAGTGAAAAGATTTATTTATTTTGATTCCAAAAAACAGCCATAACTTTTAGTTAGGTCGTGGGTCGGTTATATTTGTCTCACCTATATGGGGTCGGCTATATAAATCCTGTTTTGCCATTCCCTTCTGTTTAATATCATGTCCATTATTTTTAGTACTTACGTCATATCCAATTTTGATTCATAAAACTTAAATCATTTTTTATTTATTTCAATTTATGTTTTTTTTTTTTTTTTTTTTTTTTTTATCTACTCCAAATTAGAGCTCTTCCCTTGGCCCTTCTATCCCCTTTTAACTTTTAATAGGCCGTTTCTTACGGGTGGATGAGCCAAATTCCTATTTGGTCTTAAATATATGTCCCATTTATACATGGTGGGGTCCAAGGTGTGTAGACCCAGATCATGTTAATAAAGGGGTGAGCATGTCGGGTATTTGTTGCCACCCCTTACTGTAGTAACGAGTAAGGACTAAGGAACCATTAAATGGTGGGCCCCAATTCCGGAATGGTCATGATGACCTAAGTTGTTGGGTCAAATTTAAGGTGCAAATTCGGCGGGCCCAACTGAGAATTGGATTATTTTTTTTCTTTTTATCTTTGACTTGAGTCTGGCATAGAACTATTGGTTATTCCACTTCCTGAGCTGAGCCCGAGATAGCCCTTGGGTAGTCCTGAGCGCAATGTGATCCTAACTTAAGCCTGACCCCAATACACTTACCAACATACATATATAATGTGAAGATAAACAAACAACATTCCTATTTAATTAATTATGTAGACCTAGGAATGCAATTTGGGAAGGTTGGGTTGATGGCCATCCTAACATTTAAGGTCCGCTTGGTTCATAGTTAGAATCGGAATTTTTTGGAATTGGAATCAGAATAGTTCATTCCTATACTTTGTTTGGTTCAGATAGATAGGGAATGATTATTCCATCAAATGGGGGAATACCATTTCAGCAAGAATGGGAATRAGATTTCAATTCCGTTGAACCAAACAGTTGGAATCAGAATAACCCCATTCTGATTCCGCTTCTAGACCCCTATTCCAGTGAACCAAATGGGACCTTAGATTTTAAGCTTGAGCCCAGCCCAGCCCAACCATGCTTAACCCAATAAAAATCAGTCTTGGTTTAGGTGGGTTTAGTCAAACCTAATGTTTTAAAAACCGATCCAAAGGCCAAACCATTTTTTCTTTGGGTTATATACATCCATTTTTTATCTGTAAAATTACAATTTGAGGCCCAAAAAAGGGTTTTTTCTGGCGAAAATAGTGGGGCAAGGTGCCTTGAGATGCATAGATCTCAAAGAACTATCTAAAATCAAAAAAATTTCACCCATATATCAGAGTGCAAAGTTATGGCCACTAGAAATTTGCATACATATTGAGTGTACAACTCGTGACCCAGTGATTAAATCGAATGARCAAACAGTTGAACCACCTGGTCAAACGGTTTTTGACCAAGTCAATGTTTTTGACAAAATGGTGGGTTTTAGCACAACGGACCTAGAATCACAGGCCAAGTGTTGATTTAAATGGCTCAATCAATCGGGTAAACGGTGAATTGAAAACGCTAGTCAAACCTAGGTGGTTTCTAATGTCTTGTGCATCAACTTTCATAAGCATGTACCATCCAATGAAAAATATTCTGATGTAACTTTTATGGCTTGAATGTGAAGCCAAGGCATATATCAGCATTCGGGGTGATCATTTCTATCTGGCCCAGCCTAACCTGCAAATGTGTCTCTCTTGGGCTTGAATTTTGTGGTTCAGGCTCTAGGTTTGAACCCGCATCATGCTTGGAAATTTTCTACAACAAGCCTAGGCATGGCCTAGCATGCAATATATTTATAAATTGTGCTGACCTGAAAAGCAAAAGAAAAGAAGAGAAAAAAAGAAGAGGGTAAAAAAGAAGAAACAATAGAGAGAAGATGGAGAGAAAGAAAGAAGGGAAACTACCAAGACAAGTCGAATTACCTCTCTTGACAGTCAACCCAAGATAAGTTCTCATTACATAAGTTAAACATAAAAGAGAAAATAATAATAGAAAGATAAATTTTCCCCCACTGATAGTTTCATAAAATATCAGGTTGTTGGGATTTAGTTTCATTGTGGTTAACTGTGAACTCATATGGTCTTGTACAACTATAGCTGATTTAGAGCTACAACTTGATGAGGCCATGAGTAAATGAGTTAATGAATTACCACATAAGCAAGGCCATGAGTAAATGAGATAAGTTACTGATTTGCTACATAGGCAATTTGTCAAATAGGTGCTATACATCTATTGTAGTACTAGTTGCAACTTAAGAAAAACACCAAAGGGCCACCAAACTTTCACTTGAAAAATACTAAGGGAGCTTCACACACTTTCCAACAATCCACCAACACACTACAAACCACTACACATTGACCACATTGAAGGCTAATCACAACATCACTCGAGTCATTCACAAAAGTGCCCCTCTTCAAACCACTGAGTAGAGGGAGCACAATGAGTTTTTAATTGTAAAAAGGAGATAAGTCCTTAAAATAAAGAATGCCAAATGCAGACTTAGAGATTAGAAAAACACCACCAAATCACAAGCTATAACCTGAAGGGAATGTTCTCTATGTCTAAGGCACAAAAAGTAGAAGCATGAACAATACTAGTTGCTTATTGCTCAGATACCATGTATCAAAATGAAGTAAAAGAGAAGTAGAGAAAAGAAAAAGAAAGTGGGAAAAGAAGAAACATTAGAGAAAGACAAATTTGCCCTTATGGACTAACTTTAACATAAATGTTATATATATATATATATATATATATTATTTTTATGCAATATGATTATTTATCCAAGACTTGTCCTATCTATATGGGGTTGGCTACTTGAATCCTATTTTGCCATTCCCCTTTTCTTAAGTGCCATATCTATCATTAGATTATGGTCTATTAAACCACTTCTTAATAATTCCACTTGTAATGGCATGGAACTAACAATCACACATCATACAAAATGTGATATAAGTGCCATATGATGCCAAATCAAGGATTAAAGTATCGGTATCAGGTATCATATCGGACCACTTGGGTACGGATACGTTTTGAAAACACATGAATACAGATGAAAAAATATGAATGCACCAAAAAATGCATATAAATTTCATAAACATATTAATAACATTATTTTTAAGATCAAAATAGCCATAACTAATGTATAGATGCATAAAAAAAGTATATTCTAAAGGTATATATGAAGAAATATACTACAATTAATATAGTGGAATGCATAGAAATCATAAAAATTTATTGATATTATATTAATCAAGAATCCTAGAACTTATTATTATTATTATTATTATATATATATATATATATATATATTTTAAATTAATACATGCACAAAGCTATTATGATGTTATTTTCTATTGAATTTCAAGGCACAAAACATATGCAACTATTATATGTGAATTATTATGTTGATTATTTTCTATTTTACTATTTTTAATTTTTAATATTAATTGAAAGCCAACTAAAAATTAATTCTCAAATGATTAGTTAACAATATTTTATTTTTGTATACAATAAACACATCATTATAAAATGTAATCAAAATATAAATTAAAAATTTATAATAATATATAATATTAACTTAAAACATATCAAATACATTAAATTTTCTAAGATACACATCATATGCAAATTCATAATTTTTAACTACTAAAATAATTATTCCATTATTAATATTTTTATTACCATAAATTTTGAGATAAAAAAAAATCATTTTTTTATATAAACGTAGATTAATGGATTTGACAAATTCAATTTATATTATACTCTCAAGGTTTTTGTAAATAATATTTTTTTTATAAATAATATATATACTTTTATTTAGTCCAAATTAAAATATTAATTAATAATTTATAAAATTTTAAGATACGTGTCATATTCAAATTTATAAATATTAAGTACTAAAATAATTATTGTATTATTAATATCTTTTTCGTATAAATTTCTTGAGATTAAACAAATTTTTTATATAAATGTGGATTTAAGAAATTATTTATTCTATTAGTTTATAAAATATTAGTTTTTTTAAATGCTATAAAATATTAGTTTTGAACATTATTTTTTTTTATTTTGCTGGAATTGTTAAACACAAATGTAATTTTTTTGCATTACATGTGGACACTAGAATAGAAAAAGTTATTTTATTTCATTAAATTTCATAAGATGAAAATTGGCTTAGTGGATGAAGCATGTAGTTAAAGTTTTGAATGCTAGGTGATTTGTGTTTGAATCACGTCAGTGCAAATTTTTACAAATAAATGCACGCGTGCAAGAAACACGTCAATCCGTATTGGCCGTATTGGTCCATATTGCTCCGATACACCACGATACGGGATGATACGAAAGCACATTGCTCTGATACACGGGGTTCAGGGGATACGGGTTTAGTCGGAGCATATCTCGTATCCTCTCTAACCAATACTGATAGGATACGCCCCGCCAATGGTACTAGATTGCAAGTGAAGCTTGAATAGCCATGTCATGCAACATAAGTGCGATACAAGCCAAAAATATCAAATCGCAATATCGTTCGGCCAAGGAACCRTTCAGGCAACCGATTCCATTACTCTTCCATTTCTAATTTTACCACTCATCTATTTGAGTATACACATTTTTGTCATACTCATTTTTTTCATGTTTCTTGGTTGTTCAACACTACGCTCCATACAACATAGTTGACATCACAACTGTTTTACATTCTATATACTCTATTTTAGTCTTACTTATTTTAAAACCTCCTGTTTCTAATGTAGTTGTCCATAAACCTAATTTTGCATTTTAATAAATACCCATGCAAATATGTTTAGTGCAAATATATTTAGACTAATGCATTAAATATGTTTAGTCAATTATCTATGACTAGTGCAAATAAATATGAATTAACTGCTGACTCTTGATAAAGATCCATGCAAAATCTGACGTCTCTCCCACAGGTGTTCTAATCTTGATTTTTGCATCTTCATACATATACTTAATTAGCTCCAATAACTATTTACATATATTATATGTTGTATAATATGAAATAGTATAAATATCAAATATAAAGAACTTAATGGCGTAGCCACAAAGCCCAACCTTGCCCTTACAGTTGTAGGACTGAGCTTATATTTCAAGTCCAAATTCTAGTCTCAGCCATGGTGAAGCTCGACTCGGTCCATAATCACCCCTAATTAGCATTATATGGTAAAGATATATCATAAATATACAATCACCACATCTAAGGGGTGTTTGACAATATGGTTGAACAATTGCTACGTCAGAAAAATTGTATTATTTTTTGGATATAGCAATCATTTTTGTTTTTAAAACAACACCAACGATGTTGTCAAACACCTCCTAAATGGGTGTATAAATTAGTTGGATGATGACTTGGTCTTTGACCCCGTCTTTTGCTTGTTCTGCTATTTCACCTGATATAATTTATCCTGTGGAATGAGATATTTCGTTGGGTGTTCAAAGAAAAAAAAAAACAAAAAAAAACAAAAAAAACTGACATTGGGCAGGCTCAAATTGGGCCAGACAGGGCTTAAGTTATTCAAAACCTCAACCCCAAGCCCAATAGTAAGAGTTCAAATCAGCCACCCACAACATCCCACAGCACATCCCCACCGTGTATTGAGAACATCTCCCAATAATAATATCAAGAATGATGATGTCATCATCGGGAGATATTCTCAATACATGGCGAGTATGTGCTGTGGGACGTTGTGGGGGACAGTTGGGGGGGGCTGATTCAGTCTCCAATAGTAGAGCCCGAGTTTTTTGACCGCGGCCCAACTACCTTTGTTAAACGCCACGGTCACCCCACCCAAATTGCAGCCTTATTACCACTGATGTAAAATAAGTACAAGGCTATTTCTTCAAGAGGTGCAATTTGGGCAGTCTCGGTTTGGGCTTTTGTCAAAATTTGGATGTGCCTGACTAGAAAGCCCGAGAATTAAACAATCTAAAATGCTAACTTGGACCAACCCAAGTTGCACCCCTAAATTCTTAGGTGTAAAGGCCGATCCGAGCCCAACTGATCTGCTAGGCTCAACCCAAATTCCAACTCAGCTCAATGTATATTTTAGGCTTGGGAACAGATCCTAGGAATTGCCCTAGGTTGACCTTAAATTGGACCTGCCTAACCCGCTCAAGTTGTGCCCCTACTCCCTACTCAAATTGGTACTTTAGATGGGAAGACGATCAAGCCAAATGTTTGAAGATTGAACTTGGGCGTGGATAATGCTAGGGATGCAAATGGATCGGATTGAACTTGAATTAAGGTACATCTGAATTTGATCTGACACTATTAATTGCAGTTCCGATTCAATCTAAAGATCTGATCGAATCTCATAAATATGGATTTGACTTCGAATCCTATGAGACAATCGAATTGTCAGATCTAATTCGATCTAGTTTTATTTTTTAAAAAATAAATAAATAAATTATTAAAAGAAAAATAAAAATGCAAATAGCTTTTCAACTATTTTGTTCATATATAAATATATATGTTTTTTTATAAAAAACAAATTTAAAAAATACAATGTAAATAATATATTTATGAATAAATAAATAACATATATTTTAGATCGGATATTTATTCTCGAATCAGTTAAGGGTGATACGAATTCGGTCGTATAGGATTCTAAAATGAGGCTATCTGGATAGGATCATGATTCATTTGCACCCCTAGATATCGCAACACGGCAACAGTCATGAGTCAACTCGCCTTACGAGGCCGGTTCATTTGTTCAGCGGCTCGGTTGCCCCAACCAGCAGTTTAGCCACTTCCTCGTATGGCTCATGAACGACATTTGGACACGAAATCGATTTCACCCATTTCTGAAAAAACACAAAGACGTAGAGTCGAAGCAAATCTCAACTTTCTTCCCTTCAAATTGATCGTTCCTACTAGTCACCTGACAACCCCTAAGATTTCTTTCCCTTCTCTTCTCCACTAAGTTCAAACAACAAAGAAATCCTCTCTTGGATTCGAAAATTAAAGAACTCCACTATTCATGATCAACCGCTGCGAAAAGAGTAATTTAGAAACCCATCAATACCACTTTTAAGTTTTGATATGTTCTAGTTGAATCTCTAATAAATGATCTCCATGTTTTCCACTTTCATTCCAATTTTCTTTTTTTCTTGTTACGCATATTGCTTGTTTTGATTAATTTTCCTTTTTTAGGTTGTGTACGATCTGTCTTGTTCTAAATTTCTGTTTGATGGCCACATATCTTTATGGAGATCTGACTTCATTTTTCTGTTATGTTGCAGTAAACATAACACCTCGCATTTGATTTAAATAGAGGAAAGGAATGGGAAGCACAGCTTGCTTCATTATTGTCAGTAGGAATGACATTCCTATATATGAAGCCGAGCTGGGCTCTGCGCTTAAAGTATGAATCTTACTCTGCCACCATTTTAAATCAAAGTTCCAACTTTTTATTACAAAGTAGCGGGTTTATACTAGTCTTTCTTTGGTGCTTAGAAAATATATTTAATACTTAACACAATTTTGTATTTTTCGCATTAGAAGACGAGGACATCATAATGAATGATTTCTTAGAGGTGACTCTGATTCGTTTTATCTGCAAAGGTAGAGGAGAAATGGGGATGCAACAGTCAAGTCAATCCATCTTAGTTATGCTTGTTACACCTTGTATGCAAAATCTTTCTTAAAATACAATAAGATGCCAACTGTGATATATAAATTCTACTTCATTGTTCATGTTTTAAGCCTATCTAATTCTAGGTTCACAAGGTATCCGGTAATTTTATTATTATTATTATTATTTTTTATTTGGGTGAAAAGATGGTTCACTGGTTGTGCATTTGCAATTCTGCTGTTGCAGTAATCTGTCTGTTTGTAGAATTTACAACATTTCCCCTATCTTTACCCTTTCTTCTTGGATGAGCATTTGTTAATATTAATGGTTAGCACTCTGACATCATTCTAATGTGACAGAAAGAAGAATCTGCCCATCAGCATCAATTTATACTACATGCAGCTTTGGATGTTGTTCAGGATCTTGCATGGACTACAAGTGCCTTGTAAGTTTCCATTACTACTGATTGTTTTCCTTTGCTTATAGGTACTTTCATGAAGGTTCAAATTAGCAGGTAACTGACTCAAACAATTTCCTTTTCCTCTTCTTCTTAGCACCTGATAATTTGTTTGTCTGAAATTATTGATTCAGGTTCTTGAAGGCAGTGGACAGGTTCAATGACTTGGTGGTCTCTGTATATGTTACTGCAGGTCATATCCTAGCTATTCACAAATTGATGCAATGCTTAAATACAAGTCATTATTTTCACAAATAGAACAAGTGATCCAAGTATATTTTATATCTTAGTATTAACTCGTAGGTTTCATTAAGTAACACTTACTGCAATTGGATTCTGAGGTTCATTCAACAACTTTGTTTTTACTCATTTGTAATTACATGCTATATGCCTATGCATTCTATATCTAATTATTGATTTAATTATATTTTATAGACTACCTGGAAAACATACACATTACGTATCCATCTGTACTACCTGATTGTTGAGCAAGCTATTAGGTATATGAAATTTTCCAAAGTGCAACTTACAACAGACAACACAATTTTGGTTACAATTTGTATGATCCTCATTACTGAACAAAGAAAATTCAAATGAATGAATTGATGGTGCTATGCCATTATCATGGTTGGTAATCCGGGCTGTCCAAAAGGTGTGTTATTCCTTCAATGGGCACAACTAAAAGAATTACTTTTTGTTCCCAGATATGGGGAACCATCGATAATAGACATTACCAACTAAGAAATGGTCAAACTTACTAATGATCTTAGCAATCATAGGCTGTATTTTTTATATGATCCCAATCTGCATGAATCATATTGCTACAATTATTGGGGTTGTGCAAAATCTGGTTGTATGGTTGGCCTATATAGGAGTGCTTCAGAGTATGCTTTTCAATGACACTTTTTGAAGAGAAATGTGGGTTGTCTATCCTATATGTATTTGTTTGCTTTCTTTGGAAAATGACATTTTTGTTTGTTAAATAGATTTAGTGATGTATTAACATTTCAATCTACAGTTGTTATTCATCTTATTCATTAAGAACCACTGCTTGGTGTAATGGTAAAATCCTGGGATGACAAGTGTGAGAACATGGATTCAAGTCTGAGAGTGGCCACTTTGTGCCTAAATAAACAACATAGATTAGGTCCATATCCAGTCTACCCCTCCCAAGGCCCCAGATAGCTGGGACCAACAGTGACCTTTTTATCTCTTCATTCTTTTGTTTCTTTGACTGAGTATATCATACATACGCGATTGATGCTACTTCATGATTCTCGTAACGATGATGGAATCCGAAGTTTTTTCCAAGAGGTCCATGAACTCTATATAAAGGTATGTTGTTAAACTATGCTTGTCTATCATGTGGCATTATTTGTTTGTCTCTTCAGTTTATTCTATAACGTATGTCCTTGTGATATGTTATCCGTGAAACTTGAATGCTAATATGACTTAAGAAATTCTGTTATTTTTGTTTTTGTGGTTTTGAGATGATGTATTTATTTAATGATTTATAAATTTAATCCTTAAAGTATTCTTGCTTATTAAAAATATAACTGAGCTACAATCAGCACGAACAAACTGAGATAGATGGGTGTTTTCAGGCTACAGGTTGGGCCTTGTTGAAAAAGAAAAATTCCATCCAAGGTTGGGTTGGCTTGGGTTGAGACCTTAGGAAACCCCACTAAAACTGAGACTCATAATTTATATTACACACTTTACTATATAAAGGTGCTTAACAAAATTATTAGAATAATTAGTAAATTCATTTGGCTTAGTCCTATCAAAAAAATTCATTTGGCTTAGTGATTCCAATGTTGCTCCAAGCACAAGGTTTGAGTTGAAGTCTTAATATGCAACTTCTTATTAACCTTCTAAAATATTGCATGACATTGTAATCCATCCCAAATCATATTAATTCAATATGGCTTGGGGTCTAAGCATCCTTTGATTGATCACCTTGGGTTCAATGATTTGATGGTTGACTCTCCAATTCCTAGTTTGATCTTTGCTTGACCATAGGACCCAAACCACCCAAGTTGTAATGATCGTTGTCAAGGTGATGCTTAGGCAATAAGGCATTCTTGGAGGGTTGCCTCACCCTAATGCCTACATATTTATATGTAAGACACCACATGTCCAAAAAATGAATGTGGTAGAAATGCAAATGCTAAGATGGATGAGTGGAAAAATTAGAAGGGGTAGGATTAGGAATGAAGTTATCCATGGGAACCTAGGAGTAGCTCCAATAGGTGATAACATGAGAGAGAGTAGACTAAGATGGTTTGGGCACATGCATAGAAGACCAATTGCGCCAGTTAGAAGAAGTGATTTGTTACACATTGAAGGGGCCATAAGAGCTTGAGGTGGACCAAAAAGATATGGATAGAAGTAGTAAGAAATGATTTAAGCACTAACAATTTAACAATGGATATGGCTTTAAATAGAACGGATTGGCAAAAGAGGATTCATATGGCCAACCCCATATAGTTGGGACAAGGCATGGATGAATGGTAATGATGATGATTCTTATACTAGTTTTCTTTTTATTATTTTCTTATTTTTTTGAGTTCAATCAACACGAACGTCAGTGGCAGTCTTGAATTCTTTTTGATAAATGAGTAAGATTTTTTTAAACCAGCAAGTAAGAATTACATTCAACCCATGGAAAGGCACGAGATGCGACCTTTCCTTTAAAACTAGTTACAGAATTATAAGTACAAAAGAAATTACATAGAAGTCCAAAATAAACATCCCAAAGAACCCCTTGTTTTGCAAGTGAATCAGCCATTGAGTTTGCTGATCTGCCTACCCACTGAACTCTGATTGTCATATTCCTTGTTAACCATTTAACCTTTTTGAGAAGATCTCTAAAACCCCAAATCACAGTGTCCGAATCCTTCAGCCAACCCACTATTACCTGGGAATCCCCTTCAATAATCAGTAGCAGTCTTGAATCCGTTAGGACTTCAAAACTTGAATTGATAAGTAAGAAATAACTTGAAGATTTTATCCAATTAACATACAAGAACAATCAATAGGACTTTTCTTCCTAGGACCAAAACAAGGGCTCAACCCTTATGGTTTGTATGTTTTCTTTCCTTTCTTATTTTTCTTCTCATAAATATGTTGATTTTCTATCTTTTGGTATGGGGTTTATACTTATTTCATAAGGATTATGGTAATTGTTTGCTAAAGATTACTGCTTATTACCATGAAACCTAAGGGAACTACCCTAGGATTTGTACTTTATTTTAAAAAAGTCATCGCCTAGGCAATGCCTAGGCACCCGGCTAGGCAACTAGACAACAAGGCCCTATCATCTAGCTTCGCCTTGGCACCATGAAAACTATGGTTACAATTATAGTTGTTTTGACATTTCAGAAACAAATTGGACTTGATAAGCTTCTTCCTGCATGAATCTCTAGGAATGAAGGATTTGCTTCTTTATTTGAGTTCATGACAAATTCAAGTCCACATTGGGTCCAAGCCTGGCCATAGAATTCACTGGATTGAGTAATTTGCACATTTTTTCAAGTTTAAATGGTCAAAGTTTAGACTTTTTGGTTGGCTTGATTAAAATTTTAACTTATTATATCAATATCTTAGACAATTTAAAATATGAAGATACCCCTTGTACATCTCCTTATTGTCAAACAGCAGTAACATTGATTGATAGTGACAGAGAAAACATTTTTTGGAGCTTCCCCTAGGTTCTAGCAAGGATAACCAGGTATAGGAGACCTCAATATTTCTTCATTTAAATTACATGATTTTCTTCTTCTTAATCTTCATCCTAAAAATAGTCCACTCAAAAGGAAGTTCTAACCATAATTACCTAAATGGTTGGTTCTACATGTTCAGGTTCAGGTTCACAGCATGTAATTCACAACCTTTTAATAAACCTGGTTCTCACAATGTGTAGTTCTAGTTTTCCAATGATTTTCCACTTTCTTTTGGTGCAAATTGGTTCTTGCACATGACATTTTAGGAGAAAGAACTTTGTATTAATCAATCCAATAGGAATATTTTTCTTGGGAAAACAACCTTATGGTTAAGAAGCATCACCTTGTTGATATTGGGCATAATGTCTGCTCAAGGAGAATGGCATGCTGTGAATAAGGTTGYCTAGAGAGTTAAATACACAGCTGTAACAGGTAACTATGGTAATTGTTAATGGACCTACTAGGGAACATAATGGCAATGTTCTGAAAATCATAGTAAGATTACTCCTATTTTTTACAAATTTGTTGAAAAATTAAATATAAAATTACTAAAAGTTATATATATATATATATATATATATATATGAAAATGATGCTACCTTATTTTTAACCCACATCTACCATATATGTGCCTAAAACAACAGAATTTACCAATTACCACTTGTACAATAAAAGCCTAAGATGACATAATCAAGTTTGAGTTGAAAGTCAAATAATCTAACCTTACGAGGGAGAGCTTTTGGAACTTGGTGGTGGAAAGGTTTGAAAAAAGATTGGTCTCTTGGAAAAAGAATTACCTCTCTCTTGGTGGAAGAGTTACACTGATTAAGGCCACACTTGCTAATTTACCCATCTATTTCCTGTCTGTGTTCAAAATCCCAGTGAAGGTATCTAACAGGTTGGAGAAGTTGATGAGAGACTTCTTGTGGGAGTCGGGAGAGGAGAAGAGGGATCATAGAGTCAGCTGGGAGGTAGTGTTCAGGAGTAAAATTTGTGGTGGTTTGGGGCTTGGGAATGTTAGGAGAAGGAATATGGCTCTTCTAGGGAAGTGGTTGTAGAGGTTCCCCTTGGAGAAGGAGAGGCTATGGACTAGAATAGTGGCACAAGAAGTCTCCTTGGGAAGCCATTCACGATCTGCTTCCAGTATTCTCCCCCAATATCAGGTATGATCTGAATTCCGGTAACTCCATAAAATTCTGGGAACAAACTTGGGTGGGGAATGCCCCTCTAAAGGATCAGTTTCCTTCTTTGTATGCTCTATCTGATCTTAAAAATGAACCAGTTTCATCCTTCATTACCCCGTCCTCTTCCAATTCTGGGCTTGGGTGGAATTTGGGTCTCAGAAGGGCCTTGAGGGATTCAGACTTTGCTAATATTTCGAGCCTTCTTAAACTTCTTGATAATGTTGTCTTAGACCCCACAAGGGTGGACTCTAGAATTTGGACCCTTACCCCCATTGGCTTCTTATCTTGTGCTTCCTTTTTCAAAGTCCTAAGCTAGTCCACCAGTCCTATAACCCCCCTTCCCTATTGATGAGGTTTGGTGTAGAGCAATCCCTCCTAGGGTTGGTAGTTTTTGTTGGGAAGCCTATTTGGAAAGATTCAACACTGGTGATCTACTCCAAAAGAAGCGACCCAATACTTGCTTGTCACCCCATTGGTGTGTTCTATGTAAAGC